TAGTGCTGCTGAAGGCCATGGAGGTTGAGACATCTGTATGCTGTTGAACCTTATTGAATACTTCCAGTGTGAAACATAATAATATCTTGATCCTCTTCTTGTCCACCACTACAATTACAATAATGCCCCTCTTGAGAGCTCCATAACATCCTCACAGGGTGGACCTCCATTATCTCTCTCAGATCCAGTAAAACGATGTTTCTCCTCTGCCAGATGCTGCAGAATGGTTTTCACCCCTCAACAAAAGGCATACTTGTTCCTAATAAAAATATATGCAGCGCTAAAAAAGGATAAGCAATGACTCATATATACATCATGCGTCTAATGAAATAAAATTAAAAATAGGTGATAGCTAAAGTGCTTAAAGTGAAAATAACGTCCTCAGGTGATATAACAATCGTCCCAGTAATAAGTGCGAATGCTGTCGACTCCGTGCTCATAGGTGGGTATACTATATGTACTCACCAGAAGGCGCATAATATGCGCATTTGAGTTGTCAGACCACTCCTGGTACTAGAAGGCTGAGGAAATACGGGTCATCTAGCAGGCTGTCACTCTGATGGAGATGCTCTTTCCTCTAACCAGCAGGGGGTCACCAGGCATCCAGCAACGGTTGTCATACAGCTAGTCAGGACTCCTCAGAGCAGGGCGCTCAACATAGATATCCACCTTGAAAGGGGGGGGCTCAACCATACAGCCCACCCCAAAAAAGCACTGATAGTGTAGTATGTACAGACGATTTTTATTTGAACACAATGTAGTACACTCACATAGGGTAGCCCAGAAACAAAGATGGCCACCAGCCTCCACGAGGTGCGGGGCGGCGTGACGTCTCCGGCTAGGCTCCATGCTGACGCGTTTCGTGCGGACATGCTCGTTTTAAGGTCAAGGAAATAGTTTTTTTGTTTTAACAGTATTTGGTTTCATATTAGGCGAAGAGGAAATGTAACCACTTCTGCCCTCAAGAAGGTTTTACCCCCTTCAAGATCAGGGGATTTTTTGCTATTCAGCACTGTGCTAATCTAACTGGAAGTTGCACAGTCATGCAGCACTATACACAAATTACATTTATACACAAATAGAGCTTTCTTTTGGTAGTACTGGATCATCACTAGGTTTTTAATTTTTATTACATAAACGAAAAAAAAGACCAAAAATTTAATATAAAATATATATATATTCTACTTTCTGTCATAAAACATCTCAAATAAAAAATGAAAAAATAAAATTTCTTCATAAATGTAGGCCAAAATGTATTCTGCTACATGTCTTTGGTAAAAAAAAACAAAATCCCAAAAAGTTTATATTAATTTGTTTGTGTGACAGTTATAGTGTCTAAAAACTATGGTATATATATATATATTAGAAAATTGATCAGTTCTGATGTACTGATGGGCGACCTATGTCATTTCTTGAGGCCCTAAATTGCCAGGACAGTGTAAATTCCCCCAAAATGAGTCATTTTTAGAAAGAAGACAGTCTGAGGTGTGTGCTTTTTTTTAACAATTTTTTTTACACACTGTCACCAGTGCAGTACAGAGTCATCATATGACTGATATGGCAGCGATCAGGGATACTGACTGGTGACAGTATGTTAAAAAAAAAATTTTATTACCTTTTTAACACTACTTCTCTGGAGGAGAGGGGGTGATCAAGGATTTTTTTACACAGTTATTGCTTAAAACAGTGAAGATCACTGCATAAGCAATAGATTTAGCTGTGATGATTGGGTTAACATTCGTGACTGCTTACTTACTGTTGACATGCTGTGATTGGCTACAGCTATCACATGTTAGAGGTAGCCAGATATCATGTGATAGTTGTGAGCCAATCACAGCTTCAGAAACACTAAGCAAGCAGTCATGAATGGAAACCATTCATGACTGTTTTGTTTACATTGTAATCATGTGATTGCTATGAATATATTCATACATATATTCATAGCGATCACATGATACCCCGGCCGCTCATAGCAGCTAGGTCCTGGTAATGGTAATATGATGTTTCCGGTAGAGTCATATACGTGACTGTGCCTGTATCTGCTGCTCGCTCACAATATATTTATGGTGGTTAATATGTTTCACTCCTAGTACTTAGTTTGGGATATGGATTATATACACATTTTTTAAATATTTGCATACCTCCTCCGGAAACAAGAATAGAAAATAATAGTTTGTTTGTTAACATTGGCTTACTGCATTTATATGGTTTAAAAAGTATTTGTGTTTCTCTACAGTAATATGATCATGTAATGTGTCTTCATTTTATTTTATGCTCAGATGCAGTCATGTGAAAAGAAAATGATATTTGCACCCTTTCACATATGGTTTATATTAAGCATTTCATTAAAAATGCTTTCATGCTTTTATTCTGTGCGGCTGATTTTAATTTAAAATCTGTTTTCTTAAGAACATTATCCAATCATAAAGGATGATTTCTAAAAACTGCAGGAAAGAAGGTTGTCTGCATTGCATGTAAAAACTAATCAGATCTAATCTCTGCAATCAAATCAAGAAAATATACAAGCGGTGTTCAAGTCAAACTGGGACTTTTATTTTACAGGTATAAAAAGGAATGCCTGTGTGGTGGTACTACACGCAGTAGTAACTGGAAAGTATATCGTATTACTGATAGGTGGCACGGGCCAGTTCAGAGACCATTAATCAAGGTGGCAGACAACAGTGTTAGTGCGTGCATGGAACAGTGTGTGGTGATGAAGTTTCTTGTAAACGAAGGCATAAAACCCACAGACATCTACAGAAGCCTTCAAGCACAGTGCAGTGATGAGACGCTCAGGCACAGTAACAAATTTGGTGTAAACATTTTAGTGATGATCCTGGCCATGGTGGTTCCCAGGATTTTCTACCCCATGGTGCCACTATCAACAGCGAATATTACTGTCCTGTTTTGAGTGATGTGCATAGGCAACTGCAGAAAAAAATGGCCTGGTTTGAGCTCAAGGACAACGCACAAGCTCATATTGCTCACCGCACTACGTGCACATTACAGCAACTCGGCTGGGAGGTATTGCCCAATTCCCCTTACAGACCAGACCTTGCTCCGAATGATTTCCACCTGTTTGGACCCCTAAAACAGTTCCTCGGAGGTCAGCATTTCAGAACTGATGATGAAGTGAAGCAGGCTGTCCAAGGATGGTTCAGGCGTACTGACAAATCTTTCTATGCTGAAGCTTTTCAGGCATTAGTTAAACACTGTGATAATGGTATAAGTATATAAATGTAGCAGGGGAGTATGTTGAAAAAAAAAAATGCAGTTCCCACTTGAAATTTGTTCCTTTAGTATATAAACTCAAAATTCCAGTTTGACTTGAACACCCCTCGTACAATTACCCCAGAATGTGTGCACGGGGATGATAGTCTTTTTAAAGAGTTTCTAAAGCCAGTAATGTCACTTTTATTTTTGGATAGTGTGCGGAAGGATTAAAATTTAGTACTCCTGTGTGCTTTTATTACTGTTTGTATCCCCATTGAGGATACACACCCTTTCTCTTTGTCCTTGTTACCAGTCATACTGGAACTAAAAGTAAGGGAATATGAAACATTTTGTCACAAAACATTGTACAAGTTGTCACCTTAACGGGAATAGAGTCGGAATTATTCCACTCTATACATTTGTTCCAGTGACGTTGCTCTCAGCCTGCATACACACCTAAGTAGACTTGTGATTTTGAATGGTTTCCACATGTATCAAGCTTCAGGTGTTTTTTTTCCTGGGCTGGGCAATGGAAGGGGAGCAGTTCTAGAGGGGAATGAGTTCTTCAGATGCAAAAATATCTATACTGTGCATTTACAGGCATTACAGTTAAAGTCTATGGGATTAAAAATGCCTAAATATGCTTTTTTTAAGAAGTAGGGTGTAGAGCCTAGGGCTACTGAAAGAAGTGTGAATAGGAATAATTATAAAGGATGGAATTGTGCATGCTAAATGTAGTCAGGTGTAGGGAAACAAGCTGAAAGAAAAACATATGTGTAGGAAGGTGCTTCCAAAGGGTTATTGTTCATTTCAGTGTTGATGTTCTGCAGTCTGGGTCAAGTCAACTGTCTTTCTACTGAAAATATTAAAATTTTTATGTGTGCACTGTGTCCTTAGAATGACCTGCTATGTGGATGGGACAGAGAGGAAGGGGTTAACATTGCTGGCCAAGAGTTCTCACCAAAACTTTGAGATCCACCACCCCCTGCAGGTCATCCTGTATAAATAGGGCTCTTTGAGCTTTTTGGAAGTGAAGGCTACTGAAATACTGCCAAAATGTAGTCTGCTACGCTTCTGGACTGAGCCCCAGCTGAGGGGGCCAGTCGAAGTTCCCTGAGTAGCTGGGAACCTGAGGACTCTGGCTGAACTCTTTGCTACCTATCATGGACTTATTGCCTTCTGTAGATTATTGCCATTGATGGACTCTATGGACACCTTGCTACCTCCTGTGGGTTATTTGCCTTAACGGACTCTTGCTTTTAATGGACTGCTCGTGAACATTCTGCTAACTCAATTATGATTACCCATTGGGCACTAAAGCACCTCTGTACAGGATGTCATGTAAATAGTTGCTTTGCAAAGACTGTTCCTGTATGTTTGCTTTTCTTTGGTAGAGGCTGTTTGTGTTCCTTTAAATGCCTGGTCTGAAGTCTCTCTAAGTGGCGCAGTGAATGGCATATCTAAATAACAGAGCTTGTAAAAGGAGACTGTAGGTTAGACGTGAACCGTTAGAGGATATGCAATACATTTTAATTCAACACGTAGTTTGCTAGTCTAGTGTAGGCAATTTTGCCATTGCTAGTGGCAATTCTACATGTATCATTGCTTAAGGCAGCACACCAGCTAGGGAACAGGTGATTTGGTGTAGAGTGATAGTTACTCTGGTAATGAAAGGATGTTATGCTTTACCCCTTCACTAGCAGCAGGTTCCCCACATACTGGTACCCAATCTGCGGCATAGCATACCTAGGGACCTAGCCTGGAGAGCAGGGGCGGACTGACAACTCATAGGACCCCCAGGCAATAGGGGATCATGGGGCCCCTGTGTCCTTGCCCAAACTCAAAAAAGCCTATGAAAAAGGTACCAGGGGCATCTCATGGGGCCCCCCACTAACCCCATGCCCTTGGGCAGTGCCCGAGTTTCCAAATGGTCAGTCCGCCCGCCCCTGCTGGAGAGGTATGTAGAGGGGGAACCTGGGAGAGAGCAAGCATGTAGTTGTGAATGAAGAGCATTCTCTGTATCCAGTAGCAACAGTGGATATGTCAATGGCAGTGAGATGACAGAAATTGCTGCATTGGTGGATGCTGGCACAGGCTCTGCAGTACCAGTTTGTAAATGTTGCTCACCTAGGAGTTTGTGTTCTATAACAGTAGTGGTGTCTGGACTGATCAGTATTAACAGTACAGCTAGTTAGCTTTGGGTTACTAGAGGGTTAATTGTGTTCATCGCAGCTCGCTTCTAAGTCTGGAGTTGTGCTTTAATGCTGATTTAGCAGAATAGCAAACTAGGCAATTATCATAAACCTTTTCTGTAATTACACTCAACCCCCTATCTCTAAATAACACCCACTTAAAATCAAATATCTATAACTCAAAAATCCAAAATCATAGTCCAAAATAATAGAGTCCAAAATATCAATGTCTTCCAAGATTCTAGAGTGTGTCCAACTCAATTCACCAGTCCAGATCCCGTAAACCTCGAAAAAATTAAACTAGATATAGTGTATTACCTTCAAATATCATTAAATAATAAAATAAATTAGTGACCCGTGAATCATGCACAAAAATTATTATTAATCACTCGGTGTGCACTCCTGACAACGTGGAAAATCAAAACGCACACAAAAAAAAATCTATATAAATATAAATACAAATCCACAAAACACTCAGTGAAATTCAACACATCAAAAGTGAAGTGAGCACTCCGTGACACCTCACACTAGTGGGATTAAAGGCAATTACCCTCTTGCAGTAAAAACCAGAATTTCAGGATATAATATTTGCTTGTCAGCTTCCACCATGCAGGTAGTACCCTTTTCAATTTCCCCAATTCCTCGTGGAGGTAAAGAAGAGATCCATCAATTGTGTAATATGAGATATAAGACCAAATGTATTAGACTTCTTACATTTAGGATTGCTAGATCCATCAGACCAGTCCCCAGCAGTTCGTATGGTAAAATTCCAATAACCAAAATGGCCGCGCTGCTCCTTCTGGTTTGGCGTCAGACGTCACGTCACTGACGCGTTTCGTCACTTCCGACTTCTTCTCGTGGGTGTTATTTAGAGATAGGGGTTTGAGTGTAATTAGAGAAAAGGTTTATGATTATTTACTTTCAAGGGTGAAAGTGTGACTTTTCTTGGGGTGTATTGGTGAGAGTTTGTTGGAGATAAAACTAGGCAATTAGCAAGTGTAGTTCTTAGTGACCCACCCACACGCGTGAATAGGGGCTAAGAGGGCATTCCGCTAACTTTGGAGGAAATTAAGCTAAATGTATTTGAAAGAGAGATATATGGTTAAAAAAAAACCTGCCTAGATTTAAAGAAAAAAATTGGCTTTAGGTACAGTTGCAAGAAAAAGTATGTGAACCCCTTGGGATTACGTGGAGTTTTGCATGAATTGGGCATAAAATGTGCTCTGAACGTCATCTAAGTCACAACAATAGAAGAACACAGTCTGCTGAACATAATACTACACAAACATTAGATGTTGCCATGGTTTAATTGCACATAACATGTAAACATTCACAGTGCAGGGAGGAAAAAGTATGTGAACCTTTGGACTTAATAACTGGTTGACCCTCCTTTGGCAGCAATAACCTCAACCAAACGTTTCCTGTAGTTGCAGATCAGACCTGCACAACGATCTGGAGTAATTTTGGACCACTCCTCTTCACAAAACTGTTTCAGTGTAGCAATATTCTTGGGATGTCTGGTGTGAATGGCTCTCTTAAGGTCATGCCACAGCATTTCAATCGGGTTGAGGTCAGGACTCTGACTGGGCCACTCCAGAAGGCGTATTCTGTGCTGTTGCAGCCATTGTTTTGTTGAATTACTTGTATGCTTTGGGTCATTGTCCTGTTGCATCACCCATCCTCTGTGGAGCTTCAGTTGGCGGACAGATGGTCGTACGTTTTCCTGCAAAATGTCTTGATAAACTCTGGAATTCATTTTCCCATCAATGACAACAAGCCGTCCAGGCCCTGAGGCAGCAAAGCAGCCTCAAACCATGCTGCTCCCTCCGCTATGTTTTACAGTAGGGATGAGGTTTTGATGTTGGTGTGCTGTGCCTTTTTTTTCTCCACACATAGTGTTGTGTGTTCTTCCCAAACAACTCAATCTTGGTTTCATCTGTCCACAGTATATTTTGCCAGTAGTGCTGTGGAACATCCAGGTGCTTTTTTGCAAACTTCTGATGTGCTGCAATACTCTTTTTGGACAGCAATGGCTTCCTCCGTGGTGTCCTCCCATGTACTCCATTCTTGTTTAATGTTTTCCTTATTGTAGATGTGTCAACAAAAATGTTAGCATGTGCTAGAGATTTCTGTAGGTCTTTAGCTGACACTCTGGGATTCTTCTTTACCTCATGCAGCATTCTGCGCTGTGCTCTTGCAGTCATTTTTACAGGACGACCACGCCTAGGGAGAGTAGCAACAGTGCTAAACTTTCTCCATTTGTAGACAGTCTGTCTTACCGTGGACACACGAACATCAAGGCTTTTGGAGATACTTTTGTAACCCTTTCCAGCTTCATGCAAGTCAACAATTCTTGATCGTAGGTCTTCTGAGAGCTCTTTTCTGCGAGGCATGGTTCACATCAGACAGTGCTTCTTGAAACCAGTAAACCCAAAACAGGTGTGTGCTTTTTAAGGGCAGGACAGCTGTCAGCAACACATCCAATATCATCACACTGATTGGAGTCAAGGTTGGCTCACTCCTGGCTCCAATTAGCTCTGGGAGAAGTCATTAAGCTAGGGCCTCACATACTTTTTCCTCCCTGCACTGTGAATGTTTACATGTTATGTGCAATTAAACCATGGCAACATCTAATGTTTGTGTAGTATTATGTTCAGCAGACTGTGTTCTTCTATTGTTGTGACTTAGATGACGTTCAGAGCACATTTTATGCCCAATTCATGCAAAACTCCACGTAATCCCAAGGGGTTCACATACTTTTTCTTGCAACTGTATACTTTAAGAACAGTTTTCATTTGAGTTATGGGAGCTAAGCTAACATCACACATTTGGCCTGTATTACTGGAAAGTTATTTGAGTTGGCCATTGGGTATACAGAGTAAGAAACATAATGAGTTAGTCATAGTACTAAATCTAAAGGCAGTTTTTATTAACTATTGAGGCTTTTTAAATAAAGAGCTCTGATATACTGTTTTTCAAAAACAAGCTAGGTTGTTGACCTCTATCTAAAGTGGTGTTGAGGTGTGAGTCTTTGTTTTGTTAGGTCTTATTCGTACAGGCGCAGAAATCTGTACCGCATGTGTTTACTCGCCTGCAAGAAACAGAAGTTCTGTGCAGCCGCTGCCAGCAGTCTGTTAAAAAACAATGACAAACAGACAGAAACAGCGGCTTCACGAATCTTCCCACACATCTGAGCATTTACATCTGTACAGGAATGGATGCAGAGGATGGTTGGTGACAAGCTGCATAGAACATCTGTCACTCCCGTGCACATAAGCACACTCTGTACAGGCCTCTGCATCCACGTGAATGAGTCCTTAATTGACAATTTACTTAAAGCCGACCTTGCATGCAAATGCAAGATCCGCTTGATGCCCTGCCCCCCCCCTTTCCCTTATTTAAATACAAATTCAAAACTTCTGAATAAAGGAAAAAAACCTTACCTTACACTTCAGATTCCGGCGTGCTCGTACCTCATTTGAGCAGTGGTGACAACAGTCCTTTTCACTCTACACCAGGAAAGCTGAGGATCACAAATCTCTTTAGATGCAGGCAGAGGCGGACTGACAACTCATGGAGCCCCTGGGCAATAGGGGATCATGGGGCCCCTGTTTCCTTGCCCACACTCAAAGCACACCCAAAAAAGCTTATAAAAGGTACCAGGGGCCTTTCATGGGGCCCCCTACTGACCCCGGGTCCTCGGGCATTGCCTGAGTGCTCGAATGGTCAGTCCGCCCCTGGTTGCAGGTGTCATTAAATGATAAGTTCACCTTTGGGAACAACACATTTTTTGAGTGGAACATGTAAAATGCTCCCACCGCCACAGCTGCTGCCCGATCCCCCCCTTCTGCACTGTGACAGCGGTACGGGGAGAAGCTCCTCATACTAGCTGTCAGTTTTTGAAAACAGAGCATGTGGGGCTCTGCCCAAACAGCTGTGTCATTTGTTCACAGAGTTCTGTGAATGAATGGACTACAAGTCCCAACAGCCTTTGTGGCTGTCCTTAATAATCCTTAGTCAGCCCTTATTAACTCTTCTCCTTCTCTTAGCTATTTCTTTTCTGCTGACGTTAATTGTTATTTATTTTTTTACCATTATTTCTTTTTATTCATTCTTTTTTTTGTTTTTTCACTTTAAAATAGCTTTGCCTTGCTTTGCACCAGAAATAGAGCAAAATATAAACTAAAAGGTATAGTTTTTATTTACATTAAAAGATCTTTTTTTAAAAACATTTATCAAAGTAGAAAAACATTTTTTTAACCTTTTTTTTATTTCTGCCTTTACATTACATAGCAAATAAAATATTGTGTGTGTGGGTGGGGCTTTGAGCCTGATACAGGGACCCTCGCAAATATACTCACTAATGCCCTGGAAACATGGGCATGGGGGTCACAGTCATGTGGAGATCAGCATTAAGGCAGCACCATAACTCAGAAGGGAGACGTTCAGCTTTTTGCACAGTCCCACTATTTAGACTTCCCATTTAAGCTCTTTTACCATGTGCAAAACTCAGCTTCACATGAAACTAAACAAATACTCCTACATAAATTGAGCCTGTATACATTATCTTCAGTCTTCTCTTCTCTACATCTGTTCAAAGTCCAGAATTTATAAAGCTTTTCTGAGCTTTCAGAAAACAGGAGGATGAGAGCTGCAATTACATACTACG